TGTACAAAATAATTATTATTATTATCGTTCTACTTAATACATGTACATGCATTGCCATTATCATTATTAATCTAATTAAAAATATCATGCTAAACAAACTAGACACTTGCAATTGGTTATACGTGATATGGTGTCATGTTTAACGTCAATTCGAAATTTTAGTTAAATATGTTACCAAATTAATATTCAGAGGCATTTATTTAAAAAAAACCATTAGATGAACAATGCATTTATTGTTATTTTATAATATATACATGTAATATCGATATATTAATCTAAAAATTTTTCTAACTAGTAAAATCCCTAAAAAAATGTCACCAAAAAATATAGAAATTCAAACATTCACAGCATCGCAGTTACTATTTTCTCTCGTAATGATAATATTACTATTGGTATGCCAATTACCCGATTTATGTGAATCCAAAATTACGATATTTCATGAATCAGAAAATACTATTATTTCAACGATCGAGAATGTTGATTTCCCATGGATAAATTCGACAAGTTACGGAGTGCTAGAAGGGTACATGGTGATTGCAAATTTTTCAGATTATCCGAATAATCCGTGTCGTATTCGGCCTATGCATTCAAAAGAACCAGACGGAAGAGTGACATTATTGGCCGTGCCTTTTGAGATCGCTTGGAGTAATGGATGCCACTCGTATGCTGATTTTTTAACAAGGTAAGGTAATATTTTTTGGTGTACTTTGCTATTATAACGATAACGATGATAATTTTTATTAATTTTTACAAAAGTAATGATTGGTTGATTAAAAGTGAAAGCGATGACAGACAAAATACCAGTACCGAAACTGGTAACTCAATTATGACAACCCATAAATCGGTAACAAATACAATCAAACCCACAAATAATGTCACTGAGACATTCAATGGAAGTATTTTACCAACGACACGAACATCTACTCAGAACCCAACAACAACAAACGGGTCGAAAGTACAACAAAATTCAAACCAAATAGATTCTAATACTGGTGACAATAACAACAACAACAACAATAAAAACAATAATATCAACAATAATATCAACAATAATAACAACAACAACAATAATAATAATAACAACAATAACAATAACAATAACAATAATAACAACAGCAGCAATAACAACAGCAACAACAACAATAACAACAGCAACAACAACAATAACAACAGCAACAACAACAATAACAACAGCAACAACAACAATAACAACAGCA